AACCCTAAACCCTAAACCCATAGCCTGTTCTAGTGCTTGTGGCAGGCCTTCGTGAGCTTCTACCAGCTCTCCTTCTTGGGCTGCTTTTGGGTCTTCTTCCAGGCGCAGTTTTCAGGTTTCCACGGCTCTAGCGCTTTAGGGCTTGGGATTTGGGTTTAGAGTTTAGGGTTTAGGGTTTAGGGTTTAGGGTTTAGGGTTTAGGGTTTAGGGTTTAGGGTTTAGGGCTTAGGGCTTAGGGCTTAGGGCTTAGGGCTTTAGGATTTGGGTTTAGGGCTTTAGGAGTTAGGATTTGGGTTTAGGGCTTTAGGATTTGGGATTTGAGTTTAGGGGCTTGGTGCCAAACTCTGTTCGGGAGGTGTTTGAAAGTTCATGCTTGGTAAACCGTGGGTGGCTGTAGGTATCCCTCTTCGAAGTCGATCCAGCAATGGTCAGACGTTGCACCTGTTTTAGGGAACCTTAGGGTTTAGGGTTTTAGGGTTTAGGGTTTAGGGTTTAGGGTTTAGGGTTTAGGGTTTAGGGGAAGACATTAGGCGCAGGAGTGAGAGTCCAGGGTGCAGCGCTGAGGGTAGGACACCTGTAAGCGGAACCAGGGTGTAGTAAGGATATATGATGTACCCCTACAAGGACACCCGACAGCACAATCGTCAACAGGCCTGAGGATCCTTCTCAACACACTAAGGCACTATGAAAGATGAGAGATGTCCCAATCGCAAACAGAAGCACTTAAACGATGCACCTGTTGAAAACCTGATATACCGTAGCAAGAATAATAGCAAACTTAGTTACACAAGTCAGAGTAGTAGCAGCGAAACGTGCGAATAGATCGTTCATCGCCGCCGTCCACATGGCCGTAGTTAGTATTGACAGTGATAATGATGAGGAGGTTCGATAAACCCGAACTCTAGCCTCACAAAAGACCTCCCCAAACGGTAAACCAAAGTACTTAGACGACAAGGGGCTCTGGGACGAGTGTGTTCATTGCTGGGCCTTTGGCCTGACCAATCCCTGACTCCTTTGTGGACCATTGCGGTGACAAAGGTTGACCTCGAGCAGGTGTTGGAGGAACACAAACACGACACGGTTTAGGGTTTAGGGTTTAGGGTTAAGGGTTTTCAGAGACCGACTGTTGCTTTGCAGGAGCTGAGGGAGCGGTGCCGACGACTGCAGGCCTCGAGGAGGAGATACAGCGGAAGCACATTTGGTAAATGCTTGAGCGGTGAGAAGCTCTTCCATTTTCCATTCAGCGACTGCTTTGCTGTACGTGATCTCGTGCTTGTGCTGCCATTGTCCCTAACTAAGGACCCTACTAAACCCTAAGCCCTAAACCCCTAAACCCTAAACTCCTAAACCCTGGACCCTAGACGTGGGATTTGGGTCCGATTCGATAGGGTTTGGAGCTTCCGGGCTTCTGAAAGTCCCCTTTCGGCTCGGGGGGGTTCGGCAAAGCTGTTGACAGGCAGAGGGTTTAGGGTTCAGGGTTTAGCGAGACTTCCCCAAATCAAGCACCAAGTGGCCAATATATGAGCCCAAGTACTACAGTACCCAATATATTTATTCTGAGTTGTCCCCTACGGCTCCTTACTTCTATGCCAGAAATCCCCCACATCCCTACTCTACTCCAATTGTCAAACCCCGGCGCCGTATATAAAACCTTATAGACGCCTTTGAAAGAACCTGTAAGGAGCCCTTTACGGAACCCGTGTTCTGATTATTAAGGGCCCGTACACCCTAAACCCGATCAACCCTGAAGCCTGTAAACCCTAAACCCTAAACCTTATCAACCCTGAACCCTGAAACCCTATAAACCCTAATCCCTAAACATTATCAACCCTAAACCCTAAACTCCATAACCCCCAAACCCTGAAACCCTACAATCCCTAAGCCCAAAGCCCCATAAACCCTTAACCATAGTACCCTAGGATCCTTATTATAAGGACACCCAAAATAAGGTATCCCTTGTTTTCGGAAACTCGCATCTAGGTCCCAAGCTCTAAACCCTAAATCTTATAAGCCCTAAACGCCTCAAACCTTACAAGGCTTATAAACCCTAAACCCTGAAACCCTGCATATAAATCCCACATCCTAGAAGCAGGCCCTAAACCCTAAACCCTAAACCCTAAACCCACCCTACATATATAGCCCAGATCCTAGAAGCAGGCCCTGCATCCCTACACCGTCCGCCTTTGCCTGGAGCAGAGCGCTGCGAAGCAGATCCTTGGCTTCCTTCGAGCGCTTTGGGGCCTTCTTGTTTAAGGGGTTTGGAGTTTAGGGTTGTTCTTTCTATTTTTTGAGTGGAGGGGGGAGGAGGGGGCGCGGCTGGTACAAGGGTGTTGCGCTATAGCTATTCCTTTAAGCGGGCTGGCTTTTGGCAGTCTGGAGGGCTTACAAGGTTCTAGAGTGTTCTTATTATGGGTGGTTGTCAAAATTATGGTCCTTTTTGGGTCCTTATTACAATACGGCACCTATTATTTAGGGTACCCCAAAAGGGACCATAATTTTGACAACTACCCTTATATCTCAGGGCTTGGCCTTTCCGGTAGTCTCCATGAGAGCCCTGCCTAATTGTAGACATGGCTTGGGCGTCGAACCGCAAAAAGAACTACAATGGAGGCTAAAGGTAAGTCTAGGCCATGATTTTGGGGGCGTATGTAAATTAATTTCGGACCCAGAGCATTGAACCCAAGCCTACAGCACTAAAAGGGCTTGAGCCCTTAGAAACCCTAGATAGTCTACCTAGAGTGTCATACCCTCCCCCCGTTTTGGGGCACCTGGTGTTTATGGTAGGATCTGTTACATAGAAAGCCTAAAACAAGGGATAAGGTAAGGCCCTAGTATGGGTAGAACCCTAAGCCCTCAATCCTACACACTAAACCACCCCAACCTTCAGCCCTGAACCCTAAACCCTAAACCCTAAACCCTAAACCCTAAACCCTGAACCCCCTGCACCCTACACCCTCAGCCCCCGCCTCAACAGGCCCAAATCGTAAACCGCCCAGAGGGTCCAAATACACCGGTTTAGGGTTTAGGGTTTAGGGTTTAGGGTTTAGGGAAAGAGGTCCCAAAAGACCATCCCCAGCATGGTTTTGGGGACCGTTTAAAAAATACTAATTTTTTTCTATATATATATATATATATGGATGGACCCTCTTGGCCTTAAGCCCTGAACCCTAAGCCGCTTAAACGGGCCCAAACTGTAAGCCGTTAATATAGGCCTTAATAATTAGAATGGCGTTTGGGGGTATATTATTTTAGCAAAAAATATGGAACCCACAAACCCGTATTCTAACTACTAAGGCCCCTACGTTAACCCTAAACCCTTAACCCTAAACCCTAAGCCCTAAGCCCTAAAGCCTAAACCCTAAACCCTAAACCGTTAATAACCCTACACCCGAGGATCAAGCTGAAAGCTGACGTGATGTTGGGTGCGCTGGCCACCGGGGCGCAGAGCATCAGAGGGTTTTTGAGGTCCAAGGCACTTGGGTTTTTGGTACTATATTAGGGTTTAGGGTTTAGGGCTTTGCGCTTTGGGCTTTGGGTTTAATGGGCTTTGGGCTATGGGCTTTGGGCTTTGGGTTCAGGGTTTAGGCCTAAGAAATTACCAATATTGTTCCTTAGGGTTCCTTATTAATAGCTTTAGTAGAACATACCCCCAACACCCAATTCGAATAATTCAGTTTCGGAGTCATTTCACTTGGATTGCCTTCGGTTCTTCCGTGTTGCCTGCGGGACAGTGGTCATATATGGTCATATAATAGTAGACCATACATATGGGTAGTTCTTCGAATTAGGGTCTCTTTGAGGATCTCCAAAACCGTATGGCTTATGTACGGCACCTTATAAAGAGGATCCCAAAATGGACCCCGATTTGGAGAACTATCCATATTACCATTATAACAAGCAACCATGGTTCGACCCTTAGCAAGTTCAATGCCAATCTCCCATGATCGCGACTATTGCGCAAGTACAGCTCCCTAGAGTCCATCTACCGAGCCAGGGCTAAGGTTTAGGGTTTATGCAAGCAGTCATGGGACCATCCGGAAGCGAATCACTTGTGGACGAACTACATAAAGAACGATATGACGGCTCGGAGTTACTAAAGAGATCTGTACTGTGGCCAGGGCACATCAAAATCCTCTAGCAGACAAGGACCAGGGACACGTGGTGTACGAATCAACCATACCGAGTGCCTTCCGAAATGGTGCCCCAGCCTGACAGGACTGTAAAGCCCGAATTGTCACAGGAAGCCACAGGCCTCATACGACTGTCATACGACTCCTTAAAGGTCCAGGTGCCCCCCATATAACTATTGAAATCAGCATCTAGTTGGGCCCCAAATTGGGCACTACGTTCAGGCCGATGCATATACTGTAAGGGTACATCGACCCTTAGGGACTACTTGTGTTCCTGCTGCTCTCCCTGCTGCTGCTACTTGTACCGTCCAGTACTTTTTTTATGTCTTAGTCTTACTTCCCCAATAAGCCGGGGAAATAAAAGGTTAAACTTTCAGGTTACTAAAAAACTATAATTAAGAACCCAAAAGGTTTAAAGGTTGGGTTTTGGAGAACTAAGTAGCGTTTTAGTGCGAACTCCAACTTCAAGCCTCGCACCCCGGAGCCTTGCACACCTTCGATCCCGATTCCAGGCACTACCCCGACAGACACCCTAAACCCTGAAACCCAAGGCCCTAAACCCTAAAGCCTAAAACCCTAGGCCCTAAACCCTAAACCCTAAAACCCTAAACCCTAAACCCCTCCAGGATCGGACATTTCCTTGCAGTATCTGGCTCCACTCCGAAGCCCAGAACCCTGGACCTCAAGCACCTGGCCCCACACCTAATGCAGGGGCCTTAATAATTAGAATAGGGCATAGAGCCTTATTAATTAAAGAAAAACCCTAAACCCTAATGCCCTAATGTAGGGGCCTTAATGATTAGAATCGGATTTTGGGGGCTCCTTATTACAAATTAGAGTATAATATACCCCCAAACCCTACTCTAATTAGTACGGCTGGGATATTAAACCCTATTCCCGCTTTACTTGCGATTACTACTATTTTCCATTGCTAGTGTTACTATTACTTTTCCTACTCCTATTACTACGGTGTTGTTGTTATTACTATTCCTAAGGGCCCATGTGCCCAAAGAGTAGATACGATTTCGGTACATGGACCCTTAGGGATTGACGCAAAGCCGCTGTCCTTAAGTTATACTATTTTGGGAATTCCTTATAATAACTAGAGTATAGTGGACCCCCAAAACCCTATTCTAATTATTAAGGCCCCGATATTACTAGCCCTGAACCCTAAACCCTAAACCCTATATACTACTTTTTGTAGGCCCCTATCCCTAAGGGTCCAAGTACCTAATGATCATATACTCTCCTGAATACTAACCCACAAAACTACTATCCGTACCCCAAATACATGATTATTAGATCCTTTGGACCCTTAGGGAAAAGTGCTAACCCCAAATCCTTAACCCTAATTACACCCTAAACCCTAAACCCTATATACTCCTTTTTGTAGACCCCTATATTAGAACCCTAAACCCTATATAAAGCTTTTTGTAGGCCTCTATATTAGGTTCTTTCTTTAAAACCTTACAACTCCTTATAAACTATAGATCCCTTATGGAACTCTTATAGAACCCCTCATTATTAGGTCCTTATGGAAGCCTCATAGAAGTCCTATATACCCTAAACTCCCCACCTGTAACTATTAGGTTGTGGCTGCCTTCTTCTTCGGCGTCACCGGCTCTGCCACCAGCAGCCGAAGCCCTGAGGTGCAGCCGGGGCAGCCGGTCCTTGACTAGGGGTTTAGGGCTTTGGGGTATAGACTTTAGGGCTTTTGCCGGTTTAGGGTTTAGGGCTTTGGGTATAGAATTTGGGGTTCGGGTTTAGGGTTTAGGGTAGAATTTAAGGCGTCGAGTTTAGGCCTTCGGGTTTAGGGTTTAGGGCTTCGGGTTTAGAATTCGGGTTTGGGACTTCGGGTTTAGGATTTAGGACTTAGGGTTTAGGGCCGACAGGTACTTTGAAAAGGGTTCAAGGTTCAATTGCCACATAGGGTTCACCGCACAAGGGTATCTGGCCTCTGCGTTTAAGGGTCTTTTGCTCCCTAAGGTAGAGTGTCGTATACTTCTGGCGGACAGAAAATTAAAACGAACCTTGAGCCTTAAGCAGATCTATGAAGGCAAGCCTAGTAAGTCTGGGTGTATACCTTAAGCTACCAAGACCAACGGCTCTTACGATAAACCCTAATATCGACTTAATAGGGACCCTACAAACAAAAGCAGGTTTTGGTAGGTTACGGTATACCCTTTCAGAACATTCGAGAATACAAGTTTTTGCCAGCAAGGTTGCAAAGGCCCAAGGACTAGGCGAGCTCCATATGTTTGGGCTGCCGCAAATTCCACACCTGCTGCATTGTAATAAGTGGTTTTCCCGTGGCAAATGTCGAGGATGCTCAAACCTCCTAGACTTCAAAAGCTCTACTTAAAACACCAAGGGTGCCTTAGTAGCAGCTCTAATCTGGGAATCTGTGTAACCTAATCGTGGCTACTCTAATTCTCGCCCCAAGTCCTCTGCGCCTTCGAGTGGACCCTGGCCACCCCGATCTCGAAGAACCTCTAAATGACCCGTGAGGATTGTGCCGATGCCCGGATGTCCATGGCGCGTGCCTTGTCTGCCCAGAAGAAGCGCGGAGGCTGAGGTGATTTAGGGCTTAAGACGTACACAATGCTCACATTAAGCCTAAACCCTACACCCTAAATCCTAAACCCTAAACCTAAACCCTAAACCCCTAAACCCTAAACCACATTAAGCCAACCCTAAGGCCTGAATCCTCAACCGTAGGATTTGGTACGAATGATGGCATGGGGCTTCACAAGGGCTTCAGAGGTTTAGGGGTTTAGGGTTTAGGGTTTTGGGTTGGAGGCACCCTGGACCCTAAGCCCCGAACCCCAAACCTAAAGCAGTCTAGACTGAAACCCTTAGGCCCGAACCCTGACCCATCCAAACCCTAAACCCTGAACCTTGAACCATAGACGTAAACCCATCCAAGCCCTAAGCCCTAAACCCCAAACCTCAACCTCGGGCGTGTGGCAAGGGGAGTGAAGGCCTCCTTGCCTCGGGGAGAATTGGATCCCGAGCCGTCAGAAGAGAAGGACACAGGTCGTGCCTTCACACTCTCCTAAACCGTAACAGGCCGTGTAAACCCTTCATTCCTTAGATCCTACTTTGAATTACCAAAACTGATTTTTTTTGGCAGGTTCTTCTTATAAGCCCTGATATAGACTTTGTAGGGATCCTACGAGAAGGTAGGTTTTGGTAAGTTCAGGTAGTCTATATAAACCCTAAGATTCAAACTCCAACTCCGAGTTCGGAATTTGGCGCCCTTGCGCGACAAACAGACGAACCAGAATGTCTGATATCACCCTGAGGAGGGTCCCAAGGACCCAATAACAAGGTACTTGGCTCCAGGATTGGGGGTTTAGGGTTTAGCGTCTAGGGTGTAGTAGTTGAGTTATGACATGAAGGCTAATATTTGCGAGAGTAAATGATTACTAGGCACTTGGACCTTTAAACGATGCCTTCAGCACATGAGGAGACCCTCTGCGTTTCACAAGGATTTCATAAGGCGAGAGCATATCAGTACTAGGTGCTTGGGCCCTTAGGGCCCAGGTCTGGCTGGAAGTAACAAGGGCCTTTACTCGGCCTGAGGGCACCAAACGGTTTAGGGTCTTGGGCTTAGCGGTTTAGGGTTTAGGATGTAATTTGGGGGCCCTCGACCTCATTCTGGGTGTGTACCTTGCTGCGCCTACTAGTACGCGGGGTTCCACACATCACCCTCAAGCGCTGCACCCTCCGAAATCAGTGGCTCAGGGTGAAAATTTCAACCCGGCAAAAATCTGCGCAGAGCTTTCTGATTCCTACCACCTACGAACTGTGCAAAATCCGGCGTTTCCCTGAGTACCCGGAACTGTGGTGGGACTTCTGGTGATCATGCACAACCCAGGTACCCTAGACTATGACAAGATCATACCCGTCGGCTGCTAAGGAAATTTAGATACTAGATTCCCTTAGATCCGGTGTATTTTGTCGGTCAGGTCGAATTGTAATCGATCCACTGACCTTGGTGCTTAAGGGTCTAAGAACTTAGGATGTACATAAGAGTTTGGGGTTAAATTACGATGGTTTACCGGTATAGAGTTTGAAGAGTAAAGGTTTGAGATGTCGTATTGATCCCTGTGCTGTCGAGGCTTCGTGCTGATCGGGATCATCTCAGTCTCTTTCGTGAGCTTCCCAATCTCGCTGTTGGCTCACATGTCCCCGGGCTTCAATACGGTTTAGGTTTTTGTTGGTGCGGGGATCTTCAACTCCAAACCGATGTTGATGCTCTTTGCGGGTTTACGGAGATTTTAGTGGGCTGTTTGTGGATCCACATGCAGGCAACCCCCATGGCCAATCACGGTTCATGGCTGCCAAGGGCGTCTGACAGGATTCAGCGGTAGTCCTAAACCCTGAACCCCTAAACCCTGGTAGATGTTGGCAGAGGGATGTTCTGGTGCCGGTCTGAGGGTTCTTTGCTTTCAACAACACAAGGATAGTTCTCTAAATTAGGGTCCCTTCTAGAGGTTCCTTCACGGGATCTATAATAAGGGTTTCTAGAAGGGTACTATAAGGGTTCTATGTGGGTAGGTGTTCGATGTTCATGGTTTAGGGGCTATGGGTCAGGAGATTTGCTACACTACATTACATTACATTACATTACATAACATTACATAACATTA